GACTATATGATACCCTTTACCACTTTAGGTACAAACAAAAATGATAATGTGTACAATATCCTGTTGATAGAAGAGACATATCATCATTGGATAACCATTAACATGGAATCGGGTAAAAAAACAAATGTGATCTACATAGATATTTGAGCCAATAAAAACCATACACATGACATTCTGAAATCTATAAGAAAATTGCATGCCAATCGCATAAATATTGAAAGTTTGGCGCACCATTTACCAAAAATCTCAATATGGACTTATTTCCAGGAAAACTTCATAGATGCCAAACTGGACTGAATTCAGTACGCTGTGCAAAATTTCGTTTAAATCGGACCACTATTGGGAGTTTGGTGCACCATTTACATAAAATCGGACGAAACTATATATGTGTGCTATATATAAATTTGGACCGATTTCAACAAAACTTCACAGATGTCAAACTCGATTAAATTCCGTACGCTGTGCTACATTTTGTCCCAATCGGGCAAACATTTTCAGTTTGGTGCACTATTTACCTAAAATCGGACGAAACTATATATGGGAGCTATATCTAAATCAGAACCGATTCCAACAAAACTACGCATACATCAATCTGGACATAATTCAATACTCTGTGTAAAATGTTGTCTCAATCGGACCAATATTGGCAGTATGGTGCTCTGGCTACATAAAATTGGACGAAACTATATATGGGAGTTATATCTAAATCTGAACCGATTTCAACAAAACTTGACACATACCAATCTAGACCTAATTCAATACTCTGTTCAAAATTTTGTCTAAATCGGACCAATATTGGCAGTATGGTGCACCATTTACATAAAATCGGACGAAAATATATATATGGGAGCTATATCCAAATCTGAACCGATTTCTTCCAAATTCAAAAATAACGATTCAAGTAACAAAAAAATCAGTTGGGACAAATTTCATGACGAATACTATGATTTTGTTGCCGCTATTAATTTTGCACAGAAAAAGTGGTCATTTGACCTATAGTGCATTGTAAGAAGCAACCCTATATCTGAACAAATGAAACATTTAGTATAGGTTGCAGAATTCGACGTCTGTTAGCATTCATCAGTTGAATATACCCAAAGTAGTGAAGGGTATCATATAGTCGGCCCCGCCCGACTTTACTACTTTCCTTACTGGGTTTTTCATAAAATCGATTTAAAATGGATTGTTTTACAATACTTTAAACACGTGGGTAAATTGGGTATAAAACCATTAACTGCCGAACCACTTGATGCATGCTACCAAAACGAATATTGGTATGGAAAATTAGGTCTCTGGTTACAAGTTTTGATATAGCCCCCATATAACCGTATCTCCCGATTTTAGGTACTTTTTTGCCTATTACACACATTTTAAAGTCAAATTGGCTGTAATACCATACAAAGGTATTCCTATTTTAAGTATTTATCCAAACGCAGGCTGCCAACATTTGGTTCACATGTTTTTAATGTCAAAATTAATACTGGTATGGAAAATGGGGACACTGGGTCCAAAAATGCCTAATAAGTAAAAATTATCTTAAATCGGGAGGTACGGTTATATGGGGGCTGTACCAAAACATGGATCCAGATACCCCATTTTCCATACCAATATTCGTTTTGGTAGCATGCGTCAATTGGTTCGCCAGTCAATGAGTTTATACCCAATATTTGGGTAAATACTCACAATGGGGTACCTTTATAGGGCGATTGCCAGATAACGTGGATCTATTCATGCAAAATTGTAAAAACTTGCTAATATACAAAAATTATCTTAAATCGGGAGGTACGATTATATGGAGGCTAGATCATAATAAATTTATTATTAAAACCAGTAATGAAAATAGTAAAGTCGGACAGAGCCGACTATATGATACCCTTCACCACTTTGGGTATATTCAACACATGAATCCTAACAGACATCACATTTTTGAAGGACCAGTAAAATTGAAGGACCAGTAAAATGAACATACAAAAATTTTCGCTTTCATTGGAATTGGGAGACCAAAAAATGAGATGCGGATTCTGCAAAATGGTGGTTGAAAAATTTCTCCATTTGGTAATGTGTGTTGCCATATAAGTGTGTTGCCTTAATTTAATTGTGTATATTTTTCAATATTTTATTTATTGATTATTTTATTAAAAATTGTTATTTTATTGCTTTCTTTATAACAATATAAATGTGAAATATCGAATCCGCTTTATAAATGCTTTGTAATTAAAAGAAAATTAATTAAAGTTTGAAAATATGAACCTAAAAACATGTGAAACAGATTGTTTTGATGCATTTTGGTACAACAACTACAATTTTCGAAAATGGTGGTTGAAAAAAAAATTCGTGTTGCCATATTATAATTTAAGTTGTAATGTGTGTTGCCATATTGTAATTTAAGTTGTAATGTGTGTTGCCCATTGTAATTTAATTGTGTAATATTTTTCAATATTTTATGTGATTTTTTATTAAAAATTGTTACTTGTTTTGTGGTTTAAACTTTATAACAATTAAATGTGAAATATCCAAATTTATAAATGCTTTGTAATTAAAAGGTAATTAAGTTAATTATTTGCTAGGGAGATAAAAAATTTTCGCTTTCACATTCTCGCCTTATTCTGAATGAATGGGGAGATGCAAAAAATGCGAGATGCAGATTCGAGTTTTCGAAAATGGTGGTTGAAAAAAAGATTCGTGTTGCCATATCGTAAATTAAGTTGCAATGTGTGTGGCCATATTGTAATTTAAGTTGCAATGTGTGTTGCCCCATTGTAATTTAATTGTGTAACATTTTTCAATATATTATTTATTGATTTTTGTTATTAAAAATTGTTACTTTTTATTGTTATTTACACTATATAGCAATACAAATGTGAAATATCAAGAATCCGCTGTATAAATGCTTTGTAATTAAAAGAAAATAAATTAAAGTTTGAAAATATGGCAACCTACAATATGGCATGTGAAACAGCTGTTCATTGTTTTGATGCAATTTGGTGCAACAACTACAACAAGATTATAAATAAAAGAACATTTTTATGATGACAAAAACACAACGAATAATGGAAAGAAATCTGCGATTGAATTAATTAATTCAATTTATTATTTCACTACATAATTGTGTGCCTTTTTATTTAATTTCGATATTTATTTCCCCAGATTATTAAAGTGACATGTTATGTTATGATTACGATAATTTAAAAAAAATATTTTTTGTTCTTTCATAATTTTTATTTAAGTTTTTCACTGTTAAGCGGCTCATCAGGCAAATTTGGTTTTTCCATAATTTTTAATTTTTTTTTTTTTTTTTGAGAGACAGACCCTCACCCAAAATGTCTGTATTTCGCCTCCAAACTGCATCAAACTCGACTTAAATATTCCGTATTACCTTCATATATTCCTTGGCAATACTTGGATCAGCAGGCATCGTTATCAATAGGATTTCCAATGGCATTTTATTGGTTGTTTTCCAGTTAAAAGTGTGCTTACTATCATTTATAATATTCTAAATCGTCATACAATAAGTATTGTGTAAATATTTTTCATAAAAATAGTAATTTCTTATGTCTTTGTAGTAAACTCCCCTTAAATTTATTAGCGAAAAAATTCGCACAAAATTTCCTACTCCCTGTAATCCAGAATACCTAATTTTTCCCCAAAGCGGATTTTTTCGCTTCATTCAGAATAAGGCGAAAGCGAGAATGACACAAAAATGTTGTTCAGAATAAGGCGAAAGCATCCAGAATAAGGCTGATATTTTTCCCCAACGCGGATTTTTTCGCTTTCGAAAATTCACACAAAAAAAAATTCACACAAAAATGTTGTTCAGAATAAGACGAAGGGGAAGAGCGAGTAAATTCACGTGGAATTGACATCCAGAATAAGTCTGATAGAGTTGATTTTTACAATGGGACAAAATTATGTAAGCTACTTTAAAGCATATATCAATCCGTGTGTCCGATTGAATAAACATGAGTAGGATGGTGCACGATTTACTAATATATATATACTTAAAATCGGACGAAACTATATATAGGAGCTACATCTAAATTTGAACCGATTCCTTCAAAATTTAGCACAAATGGCTGACACCATTCTAGGCTCAATTCAGTACGGTATACCAAATTTCGTGCAAATCGAACGATATGTAAGGACTTTGATACCCAATTTACATTAAATCGGAATATATATGGGAGCTATTTATAAATCTGAACCGGTTTTTCCCAATTTCAATGAGCTGCGCCAAATTTCATCCAAGTTGTACTTTGTTTACAATTTAACGTGGACAGACGGACGGACATGCATAAATCGACTCAGAAAGTGATTATATTCATATTCTCAAAAGGAACCATGGTCCTATCTCGATTAATTTTGCCTGTTACAAACATATGCACAAACACATAATACCCTGTACCACAGTGTGATGAAGGGTATAAAAACATAATCACCTAAATACAGGGACGTACGCAATAGTGACGAGAAGTTCCACCAAATATACATGGAAACAAACATTATTGCCGACAAATATGGGTAGAAGTTTCAGTGCTAAGAAGGGTTGGTACGCAAAAATATAGATCAAATGCAATAGGTTCGTACTCCGAATATTTTTTAAAACTAGATTATTTGTCCAATATTTGGACGAACTAATTGTAAATATGACAATCAGAAAAAAATTAATTTTTTCATTTCGCACTAGCTGGCCACCCCAAATGAAATCGTGTGTACGTCCCTGCTAAAAATATAAGATGTCATATACATTCCCTTTAATTATTTAATTTGAGGTTGCATTATTTATTGTTTTATACATTTATTTACATTTAGCATTTAAATTAACATTTAACTTAACATATAATATAACAACAATGCAAGACAAGGACATGTTCTGGAATGAATTCACTGGAATTAATTTCAAAAATGTATTCAGGATAGGTAGCTAAGAACGAAATTGCCATGGCAATGATAACGCTTACACGTAAAAGACAAAAACATAGTAGTACAGCAATATAGACGGGACAACTTATTTGTTGTAGGAAGATAATGTGAACGGAGGAATGTGGGTATTGGTCTGCGTATTATCGGCCGTTTCCTTATCCTCGGGAATTTCGGGATCTTCACGTTCTTCTTCTTCGTCAATGATACTGATGTCACGAATAGAAGGACGATGACTGCGACGCCAACCTAGAAGAGAAATGGTGATAAGAAACTGCTTGTGTGGAGAAAGTTGCCGGTAAACGTACCTTCTGTTACTTGTGGTTGTCTAGTTTTCGTTAAAAGTTTTGTGCCCGATACTGAGATTAAAATAGCACCCAAGGGAGCAGTCAGTACAATTGAAAGTACGGCAATTGTTTGTACTACATAGGCATAGTGCTTCTCGTCCTCGCTGGAAGATGCATTTAAATGTTTAAGAGCCACTGGGCCCAATGCAGCTTGAACGGTGGCCTTAGACATCCAGGAGAGGGCTACAAAGAATTTTTCCTTGATATTAAGGCGATCTCCAAAAGCAATGCCAGCTGTACACAGAATACGAATAACAGCGGCACCGATAATACAGCCGACACCAACAGATACAATGTCCGAATCGAGTTCGTTGATCTAGATTAAAGAGATCGTTGTTAATTATTTGAATTGAATTTGATATAAATGTCTAGACCTACTTTGACAGTGGCACCAGTAATGCCAAATAGAATCGGTTCGAAAATCATCCAAAAGATTTCGAATGCTGTGGCAACGGGATTGTCCTCGACCTCCCAGCCTTGTTTACACCAGAACAAATTGGAAACGAAAGCAGCAAACACAGCAGCCAATGGACCAGCTCCTTCGTACCCGATTTCTTCACTGCCATAAATTGCTACCAATCCACCGGCAAACAACATAATGGTACGCATGGGCACAACGTAGGGATCTCCTTTTTCGGGGAAGAATCTGGCAATGTAACCCCAGATGACACCAAAGGCAAGACCGCCAATAATACAGACAGGAGCCTGAGAAATTTGATAGCCAAGACCACGATCCGAAAACATAACACTACTGATGATACCAAAAACGGCCACAGACAAGGCATCATCAATACCAGCTACAGCAATAATCAAAGTGGGAATGCCTTTGGCTACACCATAACCCTTAGTACGTAAACGGAAGAGGCAAGGCACAACTACGGCAGGAGAAACGGCGGCAATAATCGAACCCAAAAGGAAAGCCCAAACCCAGGGTAGATCCAAGAAGAAGTGGCTGGTCAAACCGATGACAACGCATTCAACAATCCAAGGGATGATGCCCAATTTCAGAATAGTCTTGTAGACTTTTTTGAAAGCCTCAGGTTCCATTTCGAGACCAGCTCGAATTAAAATAATGGTTAAAGCAAATTTACGCAAGTGAGCGGTGACTTTGGAGAAATCGCCTTCCAAATTGGTCCAGCCAACATTCTGGGGAACAAATAAAAAGGAATGTATGCTTATTAAATAAATCCATTTTTCAGTGTTTCCTTGAAGTACCCACCTGGAAGAGTATGCCCACCAACAACATACCAATAAGACGCGGTAACGTTGTCAATGATATTAAATAGCCACCGAAATTTGCAGCAACAGCCAGTACCACCAAACTAAATAGCTGACCACCAGGGGCAGCTGAATCGCCTATAATGACATAGGCTGTTATCCATAACAGTACACCGATCAATATTAGCACGACTATCCGGGCAAATTGTCGGAATGATGGACACAATGGATAGGGGAATAGTTTTTGCCAATGTGGTGGCTCCCATGATGGTGTTGTTTCCTCACCGCGACACTTCAGACAGAATGTATAGAGCCAAGACTCTTCAACGTTGCTGCTATAATTGGACTGGGATTGCTGCTGTTGATGTTGAGCAATTTTGGCATTCAGCGTATCCAGCGCTGAACTTCTATAGGGTCGATTGTCTAAAAAAATAAGAATATACATATATTTTTTTAAAATATAATATAATAAATAGAAACAATAATTGAAGAGTTGACTTAAAAAGATTTCAGAAATTAGAAAATGGAATATACCGGTTTATTTTTTAGGGTAACCTCAAATATAACTGTACGTCCAAAATTCTGTATTTTAAGGCATTTGGACACGTTTTTAAGTTAAATTTGCTGTATGTTGGTATTTTGGGTTCTCATTGGCTAGTAATTGTTTCTATTAAAAATTATCAAATTGGCTGTAGTTTTATAATTTGGAATTTCAATGAGTAAAAAGTATCCATACCTAAAATGGTCAACTATAGTCCAAGTTTTCGGGTAGGCCCCTCATTATATTAGCCATTTTGCAGGTTTTGGACATATTGTTCAAGCAAATTGTCTCTAATTTGATTTTTCAAGGGGTGTTAAAACTCACTACAAAAATTATATATATATATCGATTTACATTATGGTATAGCTTCATGTAACGGTACTGACCTATTTTACCTATTTTAAGGGATTTAGCCACATTTTCCCACCGACGTGGCTGTATATTGGTGCAGTGGGTTATCGAAGGTTCACATGACCTCATACATTTTTATACCCTTCACCACACTGTGGTACAGGGTGGAAATAGCTCCTATATATATACATATATATATATATATATATATATATTCGTCCGATTTAAGGTAAACGGGCACAAAGTCCCTATATATCATTCGATTTGCATGAAAATTGGCGTAGCGTACTGAATTGCGCCTATAATAATGTGTGCTAAGTTTCATGAAAATCGGTTCAGATTTAGATAAAGCTCCAATATATATCTACGCCTGATTTTAGGCGAAAATATATATGGTGCATAAAAATCCCTGGAAATCTTTTCATTTGCACGAATTTTGGCATAACGTACTGAATTAAGTCTAGGATTATGTGTGCAAAGTTTCGTGAAAATCGGTTCAGATTTAGATATAGCTCCATATATATCTTCGTCCGATTTAAGGTAAATGGTGTACCAAAGTCCCTATATATCCTTCAATTTGCGCGAAATTTGGCATAGCGTACTGAATTGCGCCTATAATAATGTGTGCTAAGTTTCATGAAAATCGGTTCAGATTTAGATAAAGCTCCCATATATAGATTCGTCCGATTTTATGTAAATGGTGCCTGATTTTAGGCGAAAATATATATGGTGCATAAAAATCCCTGGAAATCTTTTCATTTGCACGAATTTTGGCATAACGTACTGAATTGAGTCTAGGATTATGTGTGCAAAGTTTCGTGAAAATCGGTTCAGATTTAGATATAGCTCCATATATATCTTCGTCCGATTTAAGGTAAATGGTGTACCAAAGTCCCTATATATCCTTCGATTTGCGAAATTTGGCATAGCGTACTGAATTGCGCCTATAATAATGTCTGCCAAGTTTCGTGAAAATCGGTCCGGATTTAGATATAGCTCCCATATATAGATTCGTCCGATTTTATGTGAATGGTGCTCCAATGTCCCTATAAATCTTTTGATTTGCCCGATATTTGGCATAAAGTACTGAATTGAGCCTAGAGTGATGGCTGCCTAGTTTCGTTGAAAAATCGATCCAGATTTTGGTATAGATTCCATATATAGTTTCGTCCGATTTTAAGTAAAAGGTTCGCCAAAGTCCCTATAAATCTTTCGATTTGCATGAAATTTGACAACGCGTACTGAACTGAGCCTGGAATTATATGCTGAGTTTCGTGAGAATCGGTTCAGATCTAGATATATATATTTTCGTCCGATTTAATGTAAATAATGTACCAAAGTTCTTATATTGCATAGCGTCTGTTGGGATGCATCGGTTTAATATACCCATAGTGGTGAAGGGTATCATATAGTCGACTCCGTCCGACTTTACTTCTTTCTCTACTGGTTTTTAGTTGAAACAAGTAAAAAATTATTTATGTTCGTGCGGGTCGAACTGTACCCTTATATGGGGCTATAGCAATATTTTATAATTTTTTTTAGGAATAAATATTTATAATTCTGGGTAGGAAGATGTGTCCACGTAATGAAAACACATAATATCAACTTACAGCCAATTCGGTATTATTGTACCGTGGTCCCTTTGGAGATTTATTTATGTTCGTGCGGGTCGAACTGTACCGTTATATGGGGCTATAGCAATATTTTATAATTTTTTTTAGGAATAAATATTTATAATTCTGGGTAGGAAGATGTGTCCACGTAATGAAAACACATAATATCAACTTACAGCCAATTCGGTATTATTGTACCGTGGTCCCTTTGGAGAGAAATTTCTTTAAACGAAAGTTACGCAGTATTTTTTATAACTTAGGGGAGTTAGCGATTTCATCCAAACTTTGCACATATATCTTCCAAACATAGTTCAATAGTGGAATATCGGTCCACTTCTTCTGGTACCTCCGCCACAAAATTTTTAAAATTGAGCTAAAACTTAATTTCATAATATCATGTGAAAGCACAATCCGATTCGAATTTAAAATTGTACAACCTAATATCTTTACAAAGCCCAGATCACGAGATAAGATGGAACTATTGGTACACTCCATCTGGTATCTCCCCTTCAAATGGTCAACATTTTCATGATCTATAAATCCAATATCAGGCGAATGTAATGCCTGATTTGAACCAAACATTGCACAACTTTTTTATCATTTTCAAGCCTAGATAGTTCGAATATTCATGATCTATAGATCATATAGATCTATAGATTTATATATAAATCCAATATCAGGCGAATGGAATATCCGATTTGAAACAAACTTTGTACAACTTTTTATCTTTTTCAAGCCTAGATTAAGTCCAAATGTAGGACTAATTGGCCTACTCCTTCTGGCACCTATCTCACAAAGAGCCAAATTTGTTAATGCAAATAAATCCAATATTATACGAATGAAATGTCCGATTTGAACCAAACTTTGCACAACCTATTGCCAGAACAGTCCGAAGGTGGGATCAATTGGTTGACTCTTTCTGGTACCTCCTCCACTAATGGTTAACATTTTCAATATTAATAAATCCAATATCAGGCGAATGGAATTTCCCATTTGTAGAAGTAAACGAACATACATATCTAATATATTGTATATATTTTCCCCATATGTGCGTTGTATCGCTGATTTATTGAGTCAGCGTTTCCAACTAATCGCACTTCGGAACATCACAATGGTGTAGGCTATAATTAACACTTCGAAATTTTAAATGTACCACAGCCTAAAACCAATGCGTTAAAATATTTACCAAATGGAAAAATACAAAAATCATATTCATTCACTTGGAAGTTATTGACGCTAATAAGGTGTTAAGATTAAATAAATATATATGTTTGTATATTGTACAAATATATTTTCTTGGAAAACATACACAAAATTGAGGTGAGTGACAAGTGATTGTCTCTTTGCCCACGAACCCCCCATAACTTTCCGTGATTTTTTTTTGTTTTAATCGAAACTTATCAAAACATTTAAATTGATATATGTACATACAAATATAGTGAATATTGGGTGCCAAGATGGGGAGCAACTTGCATTATCTACTACTTGATAGCTGATATAAATAATACCTTTTTAACCCAAATACACATGAATAAACACTTAATCGTAGATATTTCCAAGTGCAATGTGGTTGTTGTTGTTGCTGTTAACACTGATAAATCATTGTTAATTGGTATTATCAGTTAGCATTTCAGGAATTGATAGGTACTTGTGTTATGGCCATTGTGACTGACATCTATAAGCGTATTTTTGGTTATTAATTTTGAAATTTGACATAATCATTTGTTAAATCTCTGCGTGTATTGACAATTATTTATATAAAATTGTAAACGGATTAAAATCTCATGTTTGAAAATATATTTTATTAATAATAATAGTTATACAATACACTGGAATAGTTTTGATTGATTCAGGTGCAAAATAAAAATATTTTGAAAGCCTATTACCGACGAGAGTACTTATATTAAATTTAGAATTTAAGAACTATTTTCAGCTTAAACATCTATGAAAAAAAAAAAAATAATTTCGCATTTGTATTTCGATTTTGGAATTTTAATTAATTATATCCTTCACCACACTTTGGTATAGGGTATTATATCTTGTTTGAGAATATACCTAAAACCACCTTCTGAGTCGATTTATGCATGTCCGTCCGTTCATCCAGTGTCCTAGACGTTCGATCGATCAGGGGAGCGAATATCGATTCGGACCATTACCGTCTTAATGTAGCAGCAAAGCACGGAAATTTGACATCGAAAAGCTACAGATTGACGAAAGCACCCCTTGACCCGATAATAATATAGAAGCTCAATCGCAGAGAATTGCCCACTCCCTACAAACTGCAACAAAAGTAACACTTGGGTACCAAAGACCACCATCAAGAAAACCGTGGTACGATCAGGAGTGTCGTAATGCTACTGACGTGAAAAACGCAGCGTATAGGACAACCCTGCGGACAGTAGCAACACGTAAAGCGATGGAGAACTATCGGGAGAAAAAGAGAGAGGAGAAACGTATTTTCAGAAAAAGAAGAAAGAACTAGAAAAACGTGAGCGTGAGCAAATCGAGATGTACAGGAGTCAGAATGAAGTCCGAAAATTCTACCAACGGGTAAAATACCAAACCGAAGGCTTTGGTGCTGGTACATCCTCCTGTAGAGATAAAGAAGGAAACCTGGTGACAGATACAGACAGCGTGCTGAGGATCTGGAATGCGCATTTGAAAATCTTCTGGTATCAAATAGTAGCAGCGAAGTGGATACCCCAGAACCAATAATAGATAACGGTATAGAGTGTATACCACCTAGCCAAGATGAATTGAGAATAGCAATCAATCGGCTGAAGAATAATAAAGCAGCAGGCCCGATGGGTTACAAGCCGAACTATTCAAGACTGGTGGTCAGATGCTGGTAAGGAGCATGCACCAGCTGATTAGTACAATTTGGCTATAAGAATGCATGCCCAATAATTGGAACCTCA